CTTTGTGGCAGTTTTATTCCTTGCTTAAGTACTTTTCTTCAGGGGAGAAACAAGTTGTAGGTGTTTTAATGGGAAATTTGAAATCTGTGGCTTTCCTAATTGTCAAAAGATAAAGATGTAAGTTTGCGCAAAGGGACAGTCCATATTTAGCATGAAGTTTTTGTCATTCCTGTGAACCACGAGGGGCTGCCAACAGAGGCAGACAGTCTGCATGTCCTAAAAGCCCTGCCTGGTCCTGTACTAGGGGATGAGTGTGTTCTGGTTAAAATCTGGCCATCCATTCTCTGGGAATTTTCTAGGCTCCTTTAAATCTGGTTAAATTATGTCATAGTTTGGTGTGATTCACTCAGCAAATGTTCCCTGAGCTCCTGGTCTGTGCCAGGCTCTTTGTCCTGGACAAGGATGAGGGAATTTTTAGGATGAAAGTCTGACTTCGATGAGATCTGGATAGCACGAGCAGCCATGAAGGCCACTGGGAACAGGAACCTGACCTCCAAACAAGCACCTCCTCGGCCTCAGGGCTGCCTCTCTAGTATGCCTCTGCCATGGTGAGGAATCACTCTGTCTGGTAGACATGTGGGTCTCTCTCCCAAGGCTGGCCCTTTTCCCCCTCCCTGATCTCCACCTGCTCCCCAGCCCCCAGTCCCTAACATTTACCCCACAGAGGACAACAAGACTAACTCTTGGGGTAAGAAAGCAGATGCCTTATCTAAAAACTGACCTCATAGGTATTCTTGACACATGTAAACCAAATTCAACCTTTTGAGACAGCAGTGCTTCTACACCGATGAGGGGACAATTAACTGACCAGACACATAATAAGAACACCTGGTAAACTTGAAGTAGCTATTACGATCCAACCCTTTATTCCCATATTGAGATAAGAAAAAAATTCTGTTGGTATAACAAATTTTATCCAATATCCCTGAAACCTATTCTTTATTTTACAACCATAAATCTTTGTGTAGTCAGCCCTTTCTTCTCTGCTCCCTCCATTCTCAGCCACTTTGCTTGAAATGAGAGCCTTCATTTGATTTGGCCATTTCTCATCACCTGACTGGGCTACTTGGGAGTGTTGGGAAGGTGATTTATTTCTCTGTGGCAATGTCCTCAGTCTCATATCAAAGCAATACTTCTTGGAAAAAGTGAGAAGTTGGTAAGTGGCAGAGCTACCTAATCTCTGCTACCTCTGGCCTATGGCTATTGCAGTAAGGCTTGCTCAGACTTTATTAAATAAAAGCTAGGCTTTAGCTTTCAGACGGCAGGTGTAAGACACAAAAGCACATCAGCAGCTCACAGCATGAAAATTCTGAGCAAGGAATCAGGGAAGTACAATTTCCAAGGGAGAGCTAGGAAGCAGGACAAATGGAAAATAACTGAAGGAGATTAAATTTTTCATTCTTAGATTATTCTTAAAGACAGAAAGAAATAATTTAGTCCTTACTTCAGGAGTGAGAAGGTTGAGTCTGTAGAGATTAAATGTCTGGCCAACAGTCATGCCATATCCTGGTCTGAATATTCTGGGTAGCAGGAGGTTGATATTCTCTATTAAAAATCACAGGATTCCACCTGAATGGCTACTGTGATATCAGGTTCAACTTCTGGTTTCCTATTGTTTCTCCTGTTCCCAGACCACATAAGTTAAGTTTCTTGTTGGTTGTTGAAATAGAGTCCTCTATTTCTGTCCATCCCTAGTATGAAAGAGTTTATTTCATTGAACATGAAGATCCAATAAAATAATGTTTCAATATATGGGGCTGATGTCAAGATGCTGTTTGCAGTCTTCTGCCAGCTGCTTTGGGTTTTCTTAGATTTGCCCTAAGATAAAATTGTTTCCCTGGAAAAATGAAGGAAACTTAATACTTCTTAGGTCCCTACATGGTTGGTGACCAGCACATCTTTATTCTCATCGACTCTGAAGATGTTAATTTTGTCTCAGTCCTACAATTTTCGTGAATTCTAGTATATTTCATTGGCTTGAAGTTCCCTTGCTTGTCGGCTGATTAGACACAGGCAGCAACCACGCCCCAGCTTGCTAACGCTGAGGAGGAGGAAACAGTCCTAACAAAATTTGCAGTTATGAACTTGCAGTGTCAGAAACTAGAGCAATGATACAGATGGTTACAAAGCACATGAAAGGATGCTCAACATCACTAATTATTAGAGAAATGCAAATCAAAACTACAATAAGGTATCACCTCACACTGTTCAGAATGCCCCTCATCAAAAAATCTACAAACAATAAATGCTGGAGAGGGTGTGGAGAAAAGGGAACCCTGCTACGCTGATGGTGGGAATGTAAACTGGTAGAGCCACTATGGAGAACAGTATAGAGGTTCCTTAAAAAACTATAAATACAGCTACCACATAATTCTGCAATTCCACTCCTGGGTATACATCTGGAGAAAACTATAAATCTAAAAGATACATGCACCCCAATGTTCACTAGCACTATTTACAATAGCCAGGACCTGGAAGCAACCTAAATGTCCATCAACAGATGAATGGATAAAGATGTGCTACATATATACAAGGGAACATTACTCAGCCACAGAAAAGGACAAAATAATGCCATTTGCAGCAACACGGATGAAACTAAAGATTATCATACTAAATGAAGTCAGACAAAGAAAGACAAATATCATATGGTATCACTTATGGGGAATCTAAAAAAGGCTACAAATGAACTTATCTACAAAATAGAAGTAGAGTTACAGATATAGAAAATAAGGGACTTCCCTGGCAGTCCAGTGGTTATTAGGACTTCACCTTCAATATAGGGGTTGTGGGTTCAATCCCCGGTTGGGGAGCTAAGGTCCCACATGCCTTGTGGCCAAAACACCAAACTATAAAACAGAAGCAATATTGTAACAAATTCAATAAAGACTTTAAAAACGGTCCATCAAAAAATCTTAAACAAAAAGGGAACTTATGGTTATGGGGTGGTTAACAGTGGGAGAGAGATAAATTGGAAGGTCAGGATTGACACACATATACACTACTGTATATAAAATAGGTACCTAATAAGGGCCTACTGTATAGCACAGGGAACTCTACTCAATACTCTGTAATGGCTTATACGGGAAAAGAATCTAAAAAAGTGGATACATGTATAACAGATTCATTTTGCTGTACAATACAACATTGTAAATCAACTATACCAATAAAAATTATATAAAAAAGAGTGATGACAGAGGGGACAGGAGACAGCTGTGGGCCCCCATAGGCTGGCCTAGGCATAAGCTAAGGAGGAGGAGCCAACACTAGACTATAACACAAACTATTGACTGTTTACCTCCCCAAAACAGATGCCTATCCTTAACGGGATTTAGAGCAACTAAAACTCTTTACAAAGCTAATATGAGTGTTATTAGAAATACTTTGGAAAATGTTTTAACTTCATAAGCAACTGCCAAACCATACACTTTGTGCAGTTCTACTCCTTGATATCCAAGATAAGACATCTTCACAAAGAAGTTTAAGGACTGTTTGGCTTAGTTATCTATTGTGCCTTAAAAAAATAGTCACCCCCAACTGTGGTAGCTTCTATTAATCATTTCTCATAATTGTGGTGGAGCAGGTATTTGGAAGTGGCTCAGCTGGGTGGCTCTGGGGCAGTCTTTCATGAGGTTTTGGTTAGATGTGGACGAGGGCTAGAGGATCAGCTTCCAAGGAGGCTCATTCACACGGCTCTTGGCTGGGGGGCCGCAGTCCTTCTCCACAGGGCGGCTTCAGCATCCTTATTGCGGCATAACAGCAAGCTTCTCCAGAGCAAATGATCCAAGGCAGAGGCCGTGCTGTCTTTTATAACCTAGTGCCAGTAACACCATCATGTTCACCATGCTCTATTGTCACACAGCCATTTTGATTCCAAGTAGGCGATTGCACAAGGTTGTTGTATACAGGAAGGAGCTTTTTTACTAATCACTCCAAGCTAGAAACAACTTTACACCTCAAAGTGACCTGGAAGTTACTCCATGAAGATGAATGGTCTTAATCTTATTTAACCAGGCATACTTTCATAGCTCCCCCCCCCCCCGGGGACAGAGGAGATCCACAGAGGTTGGCTAACAGTGTTAGTTACCAGAGTTCTTTGAGTAGGACACTCACCTTGAGAAGTCAGGGTAATTCATTCTTCTCCTGTTTTTTCTACTAATCTTAAGAGCTACTAACTGTCAAATTACTTGCTGGTTCTGGGGCAAAACAAAGCCTCTTCTGATCAAGCTACTCCCAGTTGATCAATTCATGATCAGATACTTTTTTAGGCATTAGTTTTCCAAGTGTAATGCTTGGAATAGAAAGATCAGGATCACCTGAGGAATGGTGATAAATGCAAGTTCATAAGTCTCAGCCCAGACCTACTTAATCAAAGCCTGGGGGTGGGGGCAGTAACTGTTTCCATCAGCCCTCCTTTGATCCTGATGCACACGAAAGTTGGAGAACCAATGGTCTAGAACAGTGGTCCCCAACCTTTTTTGGCACCAGGGACCGGTTTCATGGAAGACAATTTTTCCATAGACGGGGGTGGTGGAGGGGTGGTTCAAACGGTAATGCCAGTGGTGGGGAGCGATGGGGGAGTGATGGGGGAGCGACAGATGAAGCTTCACTCGCTTGCCCACTGCTCATCTCCTGCTGTGAGGCCCGCTTCCTAACAGGCTGAGGACCAGTACGGGTCCATGGCCCAGGGGTTGGGGGCCCCTGAGCTAGAAGATTCGTGACTAGCTCTAGACTAGTTCTACCTAAGTTTGATCGACTTTGTGGAAGAGTTTTGTTCTACACCCTCATTAACTTGTAAAAGATCTGCTAAGCCTGAGATACTAAGTTCTTGTAGATTCTGCTTGAGTTGTCAACCAACTATGAAATTCTACTGAAATGTTCTCTTCAGAAGATAGGCTGCAGAAGAAAAAATTACCCCAAGCTGGAAAGAGGTGATGCTAACAGTAGATGAGCTAGTGTAAAGAAATTACTTTTTACCTTTCAAATGAGAAGCTGAGCACAGGCTAGCAGTGCAATCTGGTTTTATTAACACATTTGGTCTGAGTAGCTCATCTCCGTTTCCTGATGGCCAGGTAGGACACTAACAAGGCTCCAATGATTAAGGTTCCAGAAAGGCCAGCCACCCACAGAGCTTGGGAGTCTACAGGAGACCCTGTAGGATGGAAAGGTAGATTAATGCATGCTGAAAATCAAGCGATTCTACATCCTAATAAAGACTGCCAGTCTTGAGCTACAGGAAAAAAAGCTAGACAATTCCTTTTGAGGTTCACATTGACCAAATCAGTAAGGAAAGCAGGGGTGAGCAAGTAGCTATGGTTTGACCAATGGTTCAGATACGGGACCTCCTGGAGGTCTCCTTCCACTCACTTGAGTATTTACGGAGCTTTTCTGAAGAGTCCTGAGTGGCTTGGAGTAAAATCATGGGACCCTGGCTAGAAATGCGAGCAGTGCTGTTCTGAAAATGCATGTCAGAGCTTCTTCTTCCTGTTGGAGAGATGAGTTAGGGATTTGTTAGTACATGTGGTGTGAGTGGTTAAGGAGTCTAAAATAGTGCCAGGTCCCTTGGTATGGATAGCTCTGCTCCATGGGCCTCAAGAAAAACCTCAATGTGTTCAATACAAAGTCTCAGACTTGCTCATTTGTACTAACACTTTCAGAGAAATGATGACTTTGGACTATCCCCAAACTGTCATTCTTCTTACGTAGAGATGCTTAAACACTTGTACCTTAGTACTGAGACCCTATGATATAAAGGTACCTGGTAAGACACTAATAGCAGAGCTCTGTTTGAATCCTATTTCTACTGCCAGTTGTAGATCTTTGAACTTTCAAAGTTTTAGTTTTTATAGATATATGTATCATTACACCTGGATGTGGAATATTTAATCTATTAGATGATAGTTATGAAAAATATTATGAGGTGTTGTGTTTTTTTTTGCCATAACGGACTTAAAGCTTCAGGGGTCATGAATCCCAATTAATTCAGGAGCCAGGTAAGATTTGTGGGATCAGGTGGAGTATACAAGTGTATGAGCATTGGGCCTGATCATTAGAGCACATACCTCTAAGTCTGCAATCCTATTCCACCTGTAAGCCTTCAGGCCTTGTTGCCAGACCTGCCTTCAAGCAAGTATAGAGGTCTACATTTATATCTGGATAGACCAGAAATGTTTTATTAGATTATAGGCTGTGAACCCATTTGACTCCTGGCTAAGTCAAAATTTACATGGAGAAAAGCTAAAGCTGAGAGTTTTCAGGATTTATAGCTTATATTTAGAAGGCCTGGAATTCTAGGAAACTAGTTGTATTTCTGTTCTACTGCATCATGAAAGTACTTAAGGAAGCCTCGTTAATAAGATGAATCTTCGGTTTGACTCATTTGCCACAGGCTAAAGAAGGTTTGCTCTGGGACGCCAAATACACTGAAATGTGTCCTCTGGTGTAGACAGCTTAGAAACTTACGTCTGGCAGGACAGGTTGTCACACAGGATGGTGTCCCAGCAGGCTGGCAGACCGATGCACTGCAGTGCAGATACACCTGGGAGCCAAAAGAATTGGGATCATGATATAACACATCATGATAAGTCTTCAAACCTGCTTTATCTCCCCCCAGGAAGAAATCAAGAAGTTTCAGAAAATCCTGAAAAACCAAGCTGACATCACAGAATCACTAAAATACTCGATTCTAGTTGACATGTCACACATGCCATTGGCATCCCTTGATTGCTCCAAAGCAGTACCAACAACCAATGTTTTAAGGGCCACTTCAGCTGAAGAGTGAGACAGTGTGCAAACGCTTGAGCTGGGGGTTTAGAGCCCTGAAGAACACAGAAGGTGGCATCATACCGGTCCCTTGAGTGCCTGCTTTGCCACTGAGTCCACGAAACTGAAGGTGGAAATGCTGAAGCGCTGGTAGTGAGAAGGAAACGGCAGGTCCAAGGCTCTCTGGACAGGGATCAGTTTGGTCTGATAGTTGTCTCCAGTGTAGGGGCATCTAAGCAAGGATATCCAGCAGTCAAGATGGGCTTTGTGGAGGGTGTTTAACACAGGTGCAGGAAAAAGCCACTTACCCATTTACCAGCATGGGCCACTGGGGCTGGAGCAGGGCGTTTGTGCTGGGTGTGGCCCAGCACTGGTGTAGGCGCAGCTCTAGACTGGGGTCTGTTCTGTGTTGGATGGAGACTTCCACGTAGATGGGATCCCGAAGCAACTTCACCACTGGGTAGTCACTAGCAGTGTAGTAGGAGCTATAGTGTTTGTCTGCAAGAGGCCAAAACAAGTTGAAGCAGTAAAAAGCTTGGAACCTCTAGGTGGCTTGAGATAGACCATCACCCACATAAACACCTCTGCCAAGTATCTTGTTACCAAGGTAGGGTCTTGACACCCAGAGAAGTGACAAGACTTGGACTAGAGGCCAGATTCTCCACAAAAGAGGGTCTTACCTTTGGCAATCTGAAGTTCCAGAGTGAGGTGTCCAGGTTGGGTCTCAGGAAGGGGTGGCGGGACAGTAAAAACCTGGACATTAACTGGAAGAGCATTGCTGCTTACAGAGTAGCTACAACTGATTCGAAGCCTGCAGAAAAATAAGATTTTAGCTACTATCTTGGGTGGGTGGACCATGTCACCTCTTTAAGGTTTGAGGAACCATTAATTGATAGGTGTTGGAACAAGTTTATAAATGTGTTGTGCGATTCTGGCCTTGTGAGAGCTATCATTGGGGAGACTGATATGTAAACAAGATCAGTGTTTGAGAGTTTGATATAAAAACCATACAAGAAATAGATATGGTCAACAGATGAACGGATAAAGATGTGGTAGATACAATGGAACACTACTCAGCCATAAAAAAGAACGAAATGATGCGATTTGCAGCAACATGGATGGACCCACAGATGGTCATACTAAGTGAAATCAGACACAAAGACAAATATATCACTTACATGTGGAATCTAAAATAGGACACAAATGAACTTATCTATGAAACAGAAACAGACTCACAGACAGAACAGACTTGTGGTTGCCAAGGGGGAGAGGGCATGGGGGAGGGATGGATTGGGAGTTTGGGATTAGCAGATGCTAACTATTACAGAGATGGGATAAATAAGGTCCTACTGTACAGCACAGGGAACTATATTCAATATCCTGTAACAAACCATAATGGAAAATATAAAATATATAACCGAATCACTTTGCTGTACAGCAGAAATTACAACATTGTAAATCAACTATACTTCAATTAAGAAATAGATATGGTACTATGAGAAAAACGTACCTTCTGAGGAGGGGGTAGTCAGGGAGGATGTTGCAAGGGATTTGATAAAAGTAACAGAGATAGACGAGAGAAAAGTATGGAGGCAAGAAGTATGAGGGCCACTGAATACTCTAGAAGCACAGTCTGGGGTTAGGGGATAGTGAGGGAAGGACTGAGAAAGATCAGGCTGGAGCAGTAGTAGCAGCTCCATGCAGGGCCCTGCAAGCCATGCTCATGTTAAGCTTCAGCTCTAGGAAGACAAAGAGAAAAGCTTTAAGTATGCTAAGGTTTTAAAGGGATTCATTTTGCTACAGCTTAAACAGTGGAGGTAGAAGGAAGAGAGCAGAGTAAGAAACAAAAGACCCGGTGAAATGAATTAGAAGTCAGGTAAGTTTGAGGCTTAGATCAGGTTGGTGGCAGTAATGCAGGGCTACTGGATCAAATAATGGTCAGTGAGACTGGACAAGCAAGGCAGTTGAGATTCTCCTGTCATGAGGAGATGGTCATTTCTGGATTCATGTTTACTCAAACTCCTGCTTTATGCAAGAAGGGAAGTCAGGCATTCTGGTCAAGCAAGGTCAGGTTAACTAAGACCCTTACCTGAAGATACTGTCTCGGGTGATAGAACCATGGCTCCAAGTTCTCACATCCCGAGTTGCAACCAGCTCGTTTTCATATACTGCCTGGGTTCCAGTGATCTACAAGGGCAGGTAAAGAAGTCTTGTCACTCCTGCAAGTCAGATGCTGCTTCACTCATAATTTGCTTTGGTTCAGTGCTCAGCAAGGCTGCCCTATTATAGGTTGCATTTTTCACAACATAAGTGGAGGCAAGAGCAGGTGGCATTGACTAGCTGGCAAGTTATCACTTCACCTTACTTTCAGGACAAAGGGACAGGAAGAGGCTTATGAGTACTCAGATGAGGCAGCCAGAAATACTACCGATTTCAGCTGACCTCCCTGCTCGTTTCCCAGGGCAGTGCAGTGGGAAGAACCTGTTATTGGTCCTTCTACAGTGTGGTAAGGGGTGCTAGCCCCTCGCTGGAGTGCAGGTGGGATGACTTAGCAGAGTGCCCTGGGAAGGTTTCGGCTTTCTCAGTGATGAAGCCCTCTCTGTCCTAGAGACCATCCTACACACCAAGCAGTAGTCACGGCTAAGCTATTCCAATTCTCCCCCCATCACTAGGGCATTCCTACCCAACTTCAAGTCAGGAACAGAGCCCAAGGTCAGCTCTTCTCACCCATTTTGTAGTACCACAGGCAGTAAATGGAAACTGGAACAGGACAAAGGTGTGTGTTGCCATCACAGGTTTACATTCACTGTCATTCCTGAAGGCCAAGTGCACAGAATTCAGCAGCAGTGGGGGTGATGTCACGTTCCGAGACACAGCGATGGAGAAGTGGCCGTCCTGGGTACAGCGTGCGGTCACTGAAACACGAGAGCAACTGTGTGTTACTGAGCCAGCCAGACAAGTGTCTAATTATTTAGTTTAGTTCTTTCAAATTCCCCGCCCTCCTCTCCCCCCACTCCTAGAAAAGCTGCATTCCCAGCTAGTGACCTTGATGCAGGTTCAGCCATCCAGAGCTTCATCAAGGCTCTGGATGGCCACTTGGGTTTGAATCTTGCCTCCACCACTTACTGTGTGGCCTCAAGCAGAGTATTTAACCTCCTTGCATCAACTTCATCTGTAGAATGGGGATAGCCGTACCTGCTTTCTTTTACTGATCAGCTAGAATTCAGAGCATAGAATTGAGTGTGGCATCTAGGTGTTTAATGAGGGTCTTTTTTTTTATGGGAAAAACTTGGAGCATGGTTTGGGACAAATAATCATCTTTTTTTTTTTTTTTTTTTTTTTTTTTTCAGGCTTTTCTGAAGTGTTGAAGAGATGTCCCGATTGGGCATCATTCATCTTTGATGAGAGGCAGTGATTTTATAAACTGGTTTTGTTTTTTGTTTTTTTTTTGCGGTACGCGGGCCTCTCACTGCTGCGGCCTCTCCTGCTGCGGAGCACAGGCTCCGGACGCGCAGGCCCAGCGGCCATGGCCCACGGGGGCAGCCGCTCCGCGGCACACGGGATCCTCCCGGACCGGGGCACGAACCCCTGTCCCCTGCATCGGCAGGCGGACCCCCAACCACTGCACCACCAGGGAAGCCCAATAATCATCTTTTGAAATAAAGCTCTTTAGACAATCAGCCACCAGTGGCTATTTCTTGGGAATTGGTTAAGTTTCTGTCAATTAGCATCTTGCACACAGACTTAGCTTCTTGAGTTCATTAAGAGTTACTTGCTTTACACTGGATTCTAGGAGAACAGACAATGGAAGGCTGTAGAAAGCTCTGTCACTTACGGTCAAGTGTTCTAGGAGGTGTTGCTTATACATCAACCTCTGGTCATCTTGAGTATTTCCCTTCTGGATGGGGGTGGGGGAGAAAACCCTCCTCTGGGTTTAGTTAGTGGTAATTGCAGGCACTTTTCTTCAGCTGATTTCAAAGATATAGTGACTCACCTGTGTTTCCGTAGTAACAGGAATTGGCCTCTTCAGAATCGTAGCAGCAGCCTAGCTGCTTGCAGTCTCCTTGAGTGGTGGGTGAAGGAGCACATGGCAGTCTGTCCCACACTGGGACAGAGTCGCAAAGGCCAGCATTTGGGATGTCTAGGGCTAGATTTTGCAGAGAAGAACAACACTAAGTAACAAAGTTTGGTCTTTAAGAAGAGGCCATTTCATTACAAAGCATTAACATTCAATTCCCATAGATATCTACGTGATTGAAAGAGATAGGTACATAATAGAGATTATATCTGAGTTAGAAAATTAACTATTAGATCACCTTATAGGAGTCCCCTGAAAGGAGTCCTCTTTGGAAGAAGAAATGACAATAAGATTGGAAGAAGCAGTGAGACTCAACTTTTTCATTCAAGTAAAGAATTCTTATGGTTCTGATGAACCTAGGGGCAGGACAGGAATAAAGATGAAGACTTAGGGAATGGACTATGAGGACACAGGGAGGGGGAAGGGTAAGCTGGGATGAAGTGAGAGGGTAGTGCTGACATATATACAATACCAAATGTAAAATAGATAGCTAGTGGGAAGCAGCTGCATCACACAGGGAGATCAGCTCCGTGCTTTGTGACCACCTAGAGGGGTGGGATAGGGAAGGTGGGAGGGAGATGCAAGAGGGAGGAGATATGGGGATATGTATATGTATAGCTGATTCACTTTGTTATAAAGCAGAAACTAACACACCATTGTAAAGCAATTATACTCCAATAAAGACGTTAAAAATAAAGAATTCTTAATTCTGTTCTTTTTTGTTTCTTTTGTTTTTGCGGTACGCGGGCCTCGCACTATTGTGGCCTCTCCCATTGCGGAGCACAGGCTCCAGACACGCAGGCTCAGCGGCCATGGCTCATGGGCCCAGCCGCTCTGCAGCATGTGGGATCCTCCCGGACCGGGTCACAAACCCATGTCCCCTGCATCGGCAGGCAGACTCTCAACCACTGCACCACCAGGGAAGCCCCTTAATTCTGTTCTTTAAAAGGCATTTCTCAATCTTAGTGTACTTTAAATTACCATCATTTTGAAATGCAGTTCTGATTGAGTAGGTGGGGAGTGGGGCCTATGATCCTGTATTTTATCAGTATTACCCCAGTGGCTATAGCCTAACAAGGCAGGTGTGAAGAATTACAAGTTCGACTCTTATGACTGAGGTGGCAAGGCAGGATTTGCTGGAGTTGAGTTGGTGTCATACTTCCTATTAATTCCCAGTTATCAAGTAGCGCCCCTAGCTGAAGAGGCTGAGCCCTATTCTCAGAGCAGCCTGCTTCTTGAAGGCATTTGCCGAGTCTCCTTGATAACTTCAGCTTCCTTCCCTACCCTTCAAGGCGGGGGGAGCTCTGGTCCTGGAATAACTCTTGGTTGAATCCCAGCTCTGCCAACTACCAGTGACGGGCACTTGGTAAGCTCCCTGCTGGGGGCCATCAATAGGGCTCACAGCGCTGGGCTGGGATCATAGGTGACACGTGCAGCACCACCCACAGTGCCTGGGCCCCAAGTCATCGCTCAGGTGGTGGTAAGCCTAAGGTCTCCTGGGGAGAGGAGAGTTAGAAGACAGTCCTCCACGGGTGCCTGGGGGCACTGCACACAGCAGGCAGAAGATGCCTAAGGGCATCTTCCAGGCAGCTCCATGCCACCCAGAACCTGGAAGTTTCCAGCCCTTACCTGGGAGATCCAGAGGACACCTGAACAGCTTTGTCTCTGTAACCGTCCTGCGTCCACCCGCATCTGCTCCTTCAACTCCAACCGGCATGATGTAGTGGGAGTCCTGGAGAGACAGGCCCCGGGAGTCAGCCTGGATGGTGGCACAGGTGTCTCAGCGTTCCTGAGGGCTGCGTCGTACTCACCCACTCAGTGACATAGCAGCCGCTGTAGGACACGTCCACCACCAGGGAGCTGCCAGGGCCCTCGCTGACCCAGGTGCCACACTCAGAGTCATTCTGCAGCCTGTGCGGCAGCCCTCGATTATCTGGGGGCGGGGAAGGGGGGAAAGCACAGAGGGTTGGTCCCCCCCGTCACCAGTGCTGGGAAAGGACTGCCAGCTTTGCCTTAGACCCCAGGGATAGCTGCCAAGAAAAGAGGAACAAAAGGGGAATCAGATTCAGAAGCAAAGCTACATTTTAAAAGATTCGTTCTATAGAGAGAAGCGGCAGAGTTTAGCAAAGGGGGGAAGCATTAGGACAGGAAGCAGAGGGCAGTTCTAGGCAGTAGAGGAGACACGCCATTGCCTGGCTCAGCCTTCAAACCTACCCCAAGCTACTAGTGCAGGAGGGGTTGCTGTCTCCTGGCTGAGGTTTATGGTGAACTGAAAGCTCCTTAGCCCACAGCGGAGTCCACCGGGATAACCTGGTGCCTTGGGCTCATGCTGGCCACGCAGAGCAACAGACAGCGGAAACCAGAGCCAGAGGGATTGCAGCAGCCACATAGCAGCGTCACCGGGAGCCTGACTGACCACACTTCCTGTTCTGCACTTCCTCTCCCAAGAGCCTGCGCTCCCCATGCCCTTTATATACAGAGGCAAAGCTCGTTTCAGGTGCACATCTATGTAGCATGCACCCTTTGGAAAGGGTGATTCCTCCAGCTTCATTCACTTTAGGCCACAGTCTGCAGCTGCAGTGCTTTAAACATTGAAATCAGGTGGTCTTCAAAGCCCAGTAACAATGTGGTGCCTTTTAGCTGAGAGAGGCTTTCTCCCAGTTGCTCAGTGTAGCACTTAATTTACTAGCTTATTGACCTTCCTTTAGAAGCTTGCATATTTGGGTGTAAATCCTAGCTCTGCCACTTATGAGCTGTATGAACTGGGTAAGTTGCTACCTCTCAGAATCTCAGTATTCTCATCTGTAAACTGGGAATATCTCCCGGCAGCTGTGTTCTTTTGATTGCTGTACGCGGGCCTCTCACTGCTGCGGCCTCTCCTGCTGCGGAGCACAGGCTCCGGACGCGCAGGCCCAGCGGCCATGGCCCACGGGGGCAGCCGCTCCGCGGCACACGGGATCCTCCCGGACCGGGGCACGAACCCCTGTCCCCTGCATCGGCAGGCGGACCCCCAACCACTGCACCACCAGGGAAGCCCAATAATCATCTTTTGAAATAAAGCTCTTTAGACAATCAGCCACCAGTGGCTATTTCTTGGGAATTGGTTAAGTTTCTGTCAATTAGCATCTTGCACACAGACTTAGCTTCTTGAGTTCATTAAGAGTTACTTGCTTTACACTGGATTCTAGGAGAACAGACAATGGAAGGCTGTAGAAAGCTCTGTCACTTACGGTCAAGTGTTCTAGGAGGTGTTGCTTATACATCAACCTCTGGTCATCTTGAGTATTTCCCTTCTGGATGGGGGTGGGGGAGAAAACCCTCCTCTGGGTTTAGTTAGTGGTAATTGCAGGCACTTTTCTTCAGCTGATTTCAAAGATATAGTGACTCACCTGTGTTTCCGTAGTAACAGGAATTGGCCTCTTCAGAATCGTAGCAGCAGCCTAGCTGCTTGCAGTCTCCTTGAGTGGTGGGTGAAGGAGCACATGGCAGTCTGTCCCACACTGGGACAGAGTCGCAAAGGCCAGCATTTGGGATGTCTAGGGCTAGATTTTGCAGAGAAGAACAACACTAAGTAACAAAGTTTGGTCTTTAAGAAGAGGCCATTTCATTACAAAGCATTAACATTCAATTCCCATAGATATCTACGTGATTGAAAGAGATAGGTACATAATAGAGATTATATCTGAGTTAGAAAATTAACTATTAGATCACCTTATAGGAGTCCCCTGAAAGGAGTCCTCTTTGGAAGAAGAAATGACAATAAGATTGGAAGAAGCAGTGAGACTCAACTTTTTCATTCAAGTAAAGAATTCTTATGGTTCTGATGAACCTAGGGGCAGGACAGGAATAAAGATGAAGACTTAGGGAATGGACTATGAGGACACAGGGAGGGGGAAGGGTAAGCTGGGATGAAGTGAGAGGGTAGTGCTGACATATATACAATACCAAATGTAAAATAGATAGCTAGTGGGAAGCAGCTGCATCACACAGGGAGATCAGCTCCGTGCTTTGTGACCACCTAGAGGGGTGGGATAGGGAAGGTGGGAGGGAGATGCAAGAGGGAGGAGATATGGGGATATGTATATGTATAGCTGATTCACTTTGTTATAAAGCAGAAACTAACACACCATTGTAAAGCAATTATACTCCAATAAAGACGTTAAAAATAAAGAATTCTTAATTCTGTTCTTTTTTGTTTCTTTTGTTTTTGCGGTACGCGGGCCTCGCACTATTGTGGCCTCTCCCATTGCGGAGCACAGGCTCCAGACACGCAGGCTCAGCGGCCATGGCTCATGGGCCCAGCCGCTCTGCAGCATGTGGGATCCTCCCGGACCGGGTCACAAACCCATGTCCCCTGCATCGGCAGGCAGACTCTCAACCACTGCACCACCAGGGAAGCCCCTTAATTCTGTTCTTTAAAAGGCATTTCTCAATCTTAGTGTACTTTAAATTACCATCATTTTGAAATGCAGTTCTGATTGAGTAGGTGGGGAGTGGGGCCTATGATCCTGTATTTTATCAGTATTACCCCAGTGGCTATAGCCTAACAAGGCAGGTGTGAAGAATTACAAGTTCGACTCTTATGACTGAGGTGGCAAGGCAGGATTTGCTGGAGTTGAGTTGGTGTCATACTTCCTATTAATTCCCAGTTATCAAGTAGCGCCCCTAGCTGAAGAGGCTGAGCCCTATTCTCAGAGCAGCCTGCTTCTTGAAGGCATTTGCCGAGTCTCCTTGATAACTTCAGCTTCCTTCCCTACCCTTCAAGGCGGGGGGAGCTCTGGTCCTGGAATAACTCTTGGTTGAATCCCAGCTCTGCCAACTACCAGTGACGGGCACTTGGTAAGCTCCCTGCTGGGGGCCATCAATAGGGCTCACAGCGCTGGGCTGGGATCATAGGTGACACGTGCAGCACCACCCACAGTGCCTGGGCCCCAAGTCATCGCTCAGGTGGTGGTAAGCCTAAGGTCTCCTGGGGAGAGGAGAGTTAGAAGACAGTCCTCCACGGGTGCCTGGGGGCACTGCACACAGCAGGCAGAAGATGCCTAAGGGCATCTTCCAGGCAGCTCCATGCCACCCAGAACCTGGAAGTTTCCAGCCCTTACCTGGGAGATCCAGAGGACACCTGAACAGCTTTGTCTCTGTAACCGTCCTGCGTCCACCCGCATCTGCTCCTTCAACTCCAACCGGCATGATGTAGTGGGAGTCCTGGAGAGACAGGCCCCGGGAGTCAGCCTGGATGGTGGCACAGGTGTCTCAGCGTTCCTGAGGGCTGCGTCGTACTCACCCACTCAGTGACATAGCAGCCGCTGTAGGACACGTCCACCACCAGGGAGCTGCCAGGGCCCTCGCTGACCCAGGTGCCACACTCAGAGTCATTCTGCAGCCTGTGCGGCAGCCCTCGATTATCTGGGGGCGGGGAAGGGGGGAAAGCACAGATGGTTGGTCACCACCGTCACCAGTGCTGGGAAAGGACTGCCAGCTTTGCCTTAGACCCCAGGGATAGCTGCCAAGAAAAGAGGAACAAAAGGGGAATCAGATTCAGAAGCAAAGCTACATTTTAAAAGATTCGTTCTATAGAGAGAAGCGGCAGAGTTTAGCAAAGGGGGGAAGCATTAGGACAGGAAGCAGAGGGCAGTTCTAGGCAGTAGAGGAGACACGCCATTGCCTGGCTCAGCCTTCAAACCTACCCCAAGCTACTAGTGCAGGAGGGGTTGCTGTCTCCTGGCTGAGGTTTATGGTGAACTGAAAGCTCCTTAGCCCACAGCGGAGTCCACCGGGATAACCTGGTGCCTTGGGCTCATGCTGGCCACGCAGAGCAACAGACAGCGGAAACCAGAGCCAGAGGGATTGCAGCAGCCACATAGCAGCGTCACCGGGAGCCTGACTGACCACACTTCCTGTTCTGCACTTCCTCTCCCAAGAGCCTGCGCTCCCCATGCCCTTTATATACAGAGGCAAAGCTCGTTTCAGGTGCACATCTATGTAGCATGCACCCTTTGGAAAGGGTGATTCCTCCAGCTTCATTCACTTTAGGCCACAGTCTGCAGCTGCAGTGCTTTAAACATTGAAATCAGGTGGTCTTCAAAGCCCAGTAACAATGTGGTGCCTTTTAGCTGAGAGAGGCTTTCTCCCAGTTGCTCAGTGTAGCACTTAATTTACTAGCTTATTGACCTTCCTTTAGAAGCTTGCATATTTGGGTGTAAATCCTAGCTCTGCCACTTATGAGCTGTATGAACTGGGTAAGTTGCTACCTCTCAGAATCTCAGTATTCTCATCTGTAAACTGGGAATATCTCCCGGCAGCTGTGTTCTTTTGATTGTATTTAGCCTAATATTTATGATAGGAACAATTTTTCCAAGTTGACTAAGAATCTTTGTCAGAGCACTGAGAACGTGTAACCAGGTATCTATAATTCTCTTCAACTAATAAAAGCGAATAAGCATGTGTCTTCCCCGGGGAAATTGCACAACTCATTTAACCATGTGGTGACAAACAACACTGAGGAAATGCTGGACTCTGCCCTCAGGGATGGGATGTGGCTTTCCAACACCTCTGTCTGGTTTGGGTTTGGCCACTAGCCCATCACATCCCATTTACTTATTCACAGGACTTACCACATTGGATTTTAATGGCCTCTTATTTACTCAGTGTCCCTACTAGTAGCACTTGAGGGCAGGGACCGATGTTTTTTCATTGCATCCTGAAAGCCTTAGACAGTGTGTCCTCAGTGTTTACTGGGGAAAGAATGAATCAATGAATGTGCTTTCATTAGTGGCCATGTCCTAAGGCTAACCCCCTTGAAAATGTGGTTTCCCAACCTCACTGGTACAGATTCATCTCCTTTGTGATGAGCTCAAACTCATAATATTTAGGTGTTTTTTCTTCAAGTCATTATACATGTGAATAAGTATAAGAATGAAGAGGAATATAACAAACTAGTGAATAAAACAAAAAAGAAACATACTCACAGATATAGAGAGCAAATGAGTGGTTACCAGTGGGAAGGGGGAAGGAGGGAGGGGCAAGATAGGGGTAGGGGGAAAAAGGTTATTATGAGATTATATGAAATCATCTGTGTGAAACTTTTGAAAACTGTAAAGCACTATAGAATTTCAAGAATCTCTCATTCAATTAAAAAAAAAGGATGAGGGTTGGACTTGTGTGTGATGTCTCAGGAGCTGAACGGCCAGTCTCCCCACTGGACTTATGAATGTTGCTCCCTAAAGTATTGAAAAATCAAGGAAAGTTTACCTATTTTGCTAAAACTTGGAGGCAGTATAGAATATGGTTATATGGATTTTGGCAATGGGTGAATCTGGGTATAAATTCCGAGTCATTACTTACTAGCTCAGTGACCTCGTCAATGAGTTACAATTTTTACATCTGGAA